CGACGTGAGGTATATAGTTATAACACATTAGTCAGTTATTTTAAGTCCATATTAGTCAGTCATATTAGTCACCACTCGACGCTCCCCGCGACGTCCCGACGAGATTGCCAGCCTATAGGTCTCTATTCTCCAGGCTGAGTCCAGTGCTGGCGTGGTGTTGCAAGCACTAAGAGAGTTAGTGTCGACTTTGTCGTGAGTATTCGTGTCATGTCTGTCGACGGATTTTGTCTTCGAGCAAGGCGAATTATGATATTGATATATCGATCGACTCGCATAGCAGGATGTTCTAGAGAGAGATGAGACGCAGAGAGAGAGAGAGAGAGAGAGAGAAAGAGAAAAGAGAAAGAGAAAGAGAAAGAGAAAGGCCGAGAAAGAGAAAAGAGAAGAGAGAAATGAGGAAAGATATATATAATATATATATATATATATACGAGAGAGAGAGAGAGGAGAGACGAGGAGAGAGGCGGAGAGAAGAGAGAGAGAGAGAAGAGAGAGTGAGAGAAGGGAGAGGAGACGAGAGAAATATAATAGAATGAGGAGAGAGGGACGCGCTGCGATAGAAAGAGAAAGGAGAGAGAGAGAGAGAAGAAGAGAGAGAGAGAGAAGAGAGAGCGCGCGCGCGACAACAGAATTAGGGAGAGATTAGATAGATAGAGGAGAGACGAGAGAGAGAGAGAAGAGAGAGGAGAGAGAGAGAAAAGAGAGAGTTCCTCAGCCGGTTATTGCGATGAGGGGATTATACTGCGCGCAGCAGCAGCGAGACAACATATTAACTAGTTTGTAATTGACAGTTGCTACACCCGACGTGATGCGGCATGAATCCGAGGGCGCGCCGAGGATTACACTTTGTGTCTTCGCCAATCACCAGCCTACGCCGCCACCAGACTTTGATATTTTTAAAATTGCGGAACCCATTGGACGGCACCAAATCGCGATCTCAGGAACTAGGGCATTTCTGCATGTTAGAACGGTTCTTCCTAGCTACCGATAGAGTTTGCCACAAATACGAAAATAACGACGCTGATTATACGCAGCTTGCGCCGACGTCCTTCTGCTTGCATTTTCGCATCTACCGTAATCAGAATGGAGCCACGCGCCTTCTTCGTTGATGGACATGATTGGGGCGATCCCGACGTGACAGTTTACTGTACCGACTGTCTTTCGCCAGGCTTGTTTACTTTTCGTAAATAATGAATGAAATGCCGCGGCCGATGCATTTCGCACGTTGGAAAATTTTCGGCATTTCACTCCGCTGTGCGAAGTAAACGGAGTAGCGTCATATCATTGAACATTGAAAGTTTTTCTTCAAATTAAATAATTCCGAAAAATCCCTACCGAGCTACTCGATTGTTTTAGCAAATGAACGGTAGCTGGTGTGTGTGACGTCTTGCCCAGCGCGCTTTATGCTTGCTTAGCGGCCTCGAAATAGATATCGGAGGCATGCACCTCGCAAGCACCGTGTTTAGTTTTACATATAGCTTTGCGTTGACGTACGGTGCTTCGGGAGTTCTGCGATGATAACCTTGTAATTTTCAGCATTTTCTTATAGCGTGCTATGGAAATTTTACAAATTTCATGTGGTGTCAGTTAGTCACGATATGTCACCAGTAGTACTAACCGCGTAATATGTTCACATACGTTCAGCCTATTTTGCACATAGGCGCGGTCGATCATTATGAAAAATTTGTGTGAATAATATTTATTTTTATTGAGACGTTATCCAAGTGCCTGTGCTTTCAACATGTCTTGTACGTCAATGCAACGTGCGTCAAGAGGCCAACAACTCATCACAATTTCATCTCACTGTTATTGTTGACCGCCTGAATGCGTGCATTGATGGCAGGGGTGCATTGTAAGAGGGAGACATTTTTCTTTGGGGTTCCGAAAAACACAATTCCAGCTAATGAACAATTTCAATGGGCCACTTCAATTGGAAGCTCTTGCATAATGGACCCCAAACAAGCCTTTGACTGACTAGTGCAAAGAAATTCAAAAGTCTGTAATATTGCTTTTAATTTAGCCGCCGATAGTTCTATTTAGAAGCAAATTTCCTCATTGTTATCATTCTAAAACTTACAGACCATCCGCTGACCGCTGTGCGAAGACGAGCGCCGGGCCATCGAATTTGGAGCACGTTCTCCACTGCGGAGCAGTCGCTTTCATACTTCGAACATCCCCGGCGGTCGCCGTGCGTAAATAATAATGCTACATGTACGTTACGCTCACGATAATCTTTTTCGCCAAATTATTTAGGAAATAGAGCCATAATTGCTGCTATTAATATCAGCAGCAGCAGTAGTAGCAGCACCAGCAGCAGCAGCAGCACAGAAGCAAGCCAGTAGGCAGCAAGCAGCAGTAGCAGCAGGCTTAGCAGCAGCAGCAGCAGTAAAAAGCAGCAGCAACAACAACAACAACAGTAATATCATCAGCAGCCAGCAGCAGAAGCAGCAGAAGCAGTAGCTCCAAGAAACGGTATTGCTAGGGTTGGACAATCCGTCGCACAGCCTGGTCGGGCTACAGAAGCAGCAGCCAGAGTAGTAAGTAGTAGGGGCAGCAGCGGCAGCCAGCAAGTCGTAGTAGCATGCAGCAGCAGCAGTAGGCAGCAGCCCTAGCAACAACAACAACAACAACAACAGTAATCTCAGCAAGCAGCAGAAGCAGTAGCAGCAGCAGCAGTAGCAGCAGTAGGCAGGCAGTAGTAGCAGCAGCAGTAGTAGCAGCAACAACAACAACAACAGTAATATCAGCAGCAGCAGCAGCAGCAGAAGCAGCAGAAGCAGCAGCAGTAGTAGTAGTAGTAGCAGCAGCAGCAGCAGTAGTAGTAGTAGCAGTAGCAGCAGCAGCTTAGCAGCAGCAGCAACAACAACAACAACAACAGTAATATTCAGCAGCAGCAGCAGCGCAGGCAGAAGCAAGCAAAGCAGGAATAGTAGTAGCCACAAGCAGCAGCAGAAGCAGCGCAGTAGTAAGCTAGTAGTTAGCAGTAGCAGCAAGCAGTTAGCAGCAGCAGTGCCAGTAGCAGCAGTAGGCAGCAGTAAGCCAGCAGCAAACAACAACATATATATATATATATA